ACTATCGGTGGAACTAATTACATAGGATATAAACTGGGTGAAGAAAGTAAATGGTATATGTTGGGCACTAGCACATATAGACTAGTGAATAATATTGTGAATCTCTGGGTCTTCATTGAGACCAGTAGGGATAGATTACCAAATGTGAAGATGCAAGGTTTTTTGATGCCTTCTACCTGTATCTAGATCCCCCTCTATTGCCTCAATCCTAAATACTTTCAGTCCCTGGGGGGCATTATGGTGTGCATCACTGAAATGTCGAGGGATAGAATATTTGTCCTTTTTAATAATCCCACATTTTATGTTCTCCTATTCTGACTCTTAAAGAACAAGAGGTGCAGCCTACATATAGTAGGCCGCAAGGGCAGAGGAACCCACACACTATGTATGCCATGCTACAGTTTATAAATTGTTTTAAATGTATGGGATTTTCCATTAGTACCCATAACTGTCTGTTTACGATGCCATATATAGGTGAAGGTGCCGCAATTCCTGACTCCACATTTATAACTGCTATTCTGGCCAAAAAGAGTGGTCCAATTTTTACTTGCCTGTAGTGTTTCTTCCGTAACCCTGCTTGGTGTCACTAAACTTCTCAAGTCATGAGGTCTTCTATATACTATGTTCAGTTTTTTCCAACAACATTTCTCTTATTTATTTCAGGTACTTATATAGCACCATCAATTTATGCAGTACTTAACACATATATATTGAACATTCACATCAGTCCCTAACCCTCAAGGGGTGTACAGTCTAAGGTCCCTAACTCACATTCATACATACACATATTAGGGCCAATTTAGACAGAAGCCAATTCACCTACCAGCATGTCTTTGGAGTGGGGGAGGAAACCAGAGCACCTGGAAGAAACCCACACAAGCACAGGGAGAACATACAAACTGCATGCAGGAGGCGCCATGGTTGGGAATCGAACCCATGACCCATTTACTGCAAGGCAGACGTGCTAACCACTAAGCCACTGTGCTGCCTCTTAATACAGGGTCTTGTTTTCAGATGTACAAGTTTATCTTAACAGTATGTTCAGTTTTGAAATGATTTGCTGGTGTAACGAGTAATGAACCTAACCTTATGTTTAATCGGTTCACTTTTGTCTGTATGTTTACTATGAGGGTCTGGTGTCTTGTCATAGTCTAAGAAATATTTATTGTATACATCTTCTATATGGGAATCATTATACCCCTTCTCTCTGAACCTATTTTTAAGTATGCTACTTTGCTCCTCATAGTCCTTTTTCTCAGGTACATGTTCTCTATAATCTACAGAATTGGCCATAGGGCACGTTGTACATCCATCTAGGATGGTGACTGTTGGATTTTAGACACATATAATACTTCTTTTAGTGTCTTGAGGCAATTATGAATGAAAGAGCCGTTGAAATAAAAAATAAAGTGTGATTTTATTCTATCACACAATGGCTTAAAATAACAATGTAAAGCGTATCATGAACAGTTCCATGTAGATAAAACTACTGTAGAAATATCAAGCAGAAGTTTAAAGAAAAAGTCACTATTATTGTCATAACTGTCTGACCGTGTGCAACGTCCATCTTCTTCTTGTCCTTCACGAGACTCAGGGACGAAACCGGAGATAGACGGAAGTGATGATCTTGTCTTCAGTAAGCACCTGTTTCCAGCTTCTCACACGTGTGTGTGCGTGTGTGTCAAAGTGTCAGTGTTAGCGTGTGAGTGTCTCCTCTGTCCCTTATGGACCTTTTTATATAGGAACAAGCGTCATACCTAGTGATCTTAATACCTTTTATGGAAATTAGTACTGCTTAGCAAAGCAGTTTCATAGAAGAGAGTGGACGCTATATATGTGATGTTTGATGGACAGGTACAGATGCTGATGTACATAATACTATAAGCTAATGATGTAACCTCAGCTATTCATATTTAAATGACAATATAACTTGTTCAAAATTTTTTATTTTGTTCGTAGGGAGGGGTAACATAGATAAAACAAATAAAGTATACAAATACTTATACAGTGAATTTTCTTGGGAATGCAGTATTAACCGTAAACCTCAGAACGGTAACAGGTAAGAACTGGTGAACAATATTAGGCGGGGAATGTGAAGGTGGGAGAAGACGGGGGAAAGGTATGCGACTCCGCAAGTGAAGAGAAAAAAAAAAGAGAGGGGAGCTGTAAGAGTAAAGGGGAGGGTACCAGAATAGTTAGGAGTGCTGGTTACGGGGTGAGAAGAATTTCATCAAAGTTAGAAGGTAGAAAGTGTTCTACCCATGGGTCCCAAATCATCCTAAATTTGGGGATAGTATTCAAGATTGTGGCTTCTACTTTAGCAAGGATCATCGCCTGGGTTACTTTGTTTCGGGGGGGGGACCGCGGTAGTGTTAAGCGACGTAGACTTCCACGATTTGGCAATGACCTGTTTGGCAGCTGTAGTAACCTGTAATAGAAGCTTAAATTGTAGTTTCGTGACTTCGGGTGGTCGTAGGTTAAGTAACGCTGTTAGCGGGTTAGGAGGGAGGTTTTTCGTACTTAATAAGGAGAGCATTTTGAATATTTCCGTCCAGAAGATCCTGGCGGTTGGGCACTTTCACCATGTATGGAAGAAAGTGCCCGGGTCTACGCAACCTCTGAAGCATGCTGAAGAATAGTTAGGGGTATATTTAGCTATTCTCGCTGGTACTAAGTACCAACGGGTTAAGACTTTGTAGTTGGTCTCCAAAGCCACAATATTCTGCGACTACCCCTTGGTGGTAGACCAAATACGGTCCCAATCCGAGGGATCAATTTCGTGGCCCAGGTCCAAATCCATTTTCCGCGCGTAAGAAGGTAGGGAATCTTCAGACAGGGTTGTAAGGAGAGAGTACAGGTATGAAATGAGGCAACGTCTGTGAGGGTCTTTACTACAAGTTCGTTCAAAGGAGGACATGGCTTGTGTTGGGTTAGCAACCATTGCGTAAGGGGCGTAGAAGTGTTTCAATTGCAAGTAGCGGAATATTTCTGAAGGCGGAAGTATGACAATATAACTTAAGAACATATCTTAACAACATATCAATGTATAATCACTAATCTATATATGTATCAATATTAGAAACGTATACTTAAAAACACACAGATACTATTAAAATACATTATGTAATAGTAAGTCACTTCTAATACCTTTGACATTTTACTACCAGAGACTTTTAACCAGCTATGCCTAAATATAGTCTTCAGCTGGTTTAGCTGGTCTCAGCTAACTTACCCATATCTTTCGGTCTCAGCTATAATTGAAGAATTGTAATACTACCATTTGTCAAAAGACCATTCACACATATTAATATTAATTATGATTAATCATAAAAACCAAATATTTTGCAAGCTTGCCATCAATATAACTGCCGAATCATAAATTTGATTTCTAACAGTGACTGATTTTGGCGTGTAAAACAGATTTGCTTCCACTAGATTTAAAATGAGTTTTGGAGTAAATGGTCACTTCTGAGCCGCTCTAAGTTCCAGGTCCCAGAAGACCTGTTTTCTTCATCTACTACATGGGTGAAAATAATATAATAATATAGGATGGCTCTAAGACCATGTTCATGTGCTATAGATGTTTTTAAGAAAGCCACATCTAGCATAGATAGCTGGGTTGCCACTGATAGTGAGATAGAATTTCTAACATATATGGCTTGAATCGCTAACTAAGGATGGAAGGTTAGTAACAATATCCTGTAAGAAAAAAATCTATATAACATCCAAATTACTAGTAAGACTATCAATGTCAGCTATAATAGGTCTTCCTGGTGGATTTGTAATGCTCTTACGCACCTTAGGGATGTGATAAAAATGGGGTGTGACCGGGTGTTTTCTAAAAATAAAATAATATTCATTGTTGGTTAACACCTTGTTACTTGGGCTAGATCTAACAGCTGTTTGAGCTCTTTAGTGTATGTCACTGATCTTTCGTCAGTTTTAAATGTGCATCTGTGTCTCCCAACAACCTTCTTGCTTCATTCATATAATCTTCCTTGTTTTGTATCACTAGGCTGCCCCCTTTGTCTGCCAGTTTTATGACAACCTCTTGATTTTGCTTCAATTTGTCAATAGGGTCATTAAAGAGATCTTTACTATTTCTTTTTTATTTGAAGAGCTAAAGTTCTGGACCATATTTTTGAACTTATTGAACACTACCTCCAAAGAAGGTAGAAATGAAGTTCCCTTTGGCCTAACGGGAAAAGAACTTGGATTGAGGTCTAAAGGTGGTGTGTATCATTTAATTGGCTACCGTAGTGTCTGTATCTAATACCTCTGGTAGGTATACCATATGGTCACCCTCTAGCCCTTCTAGATAGAGTTCCTCTAGGATTTCTAGGGCTGGGTCATCATTGACGGTGGCAATGGATGGTTCTAGTTCCATTGTTTCATCACTGCTCGTAGATTCTTCCTTTAGAGCAAAATATCTTTTGATGGTGAGTTCTAGAGATGAGCGAAGTATTCAAAAATTCGATTCGGCTGATTCGGCGAATACGAGGAATAAATTCGATTCGAGGCGAATATATTCGTTGCGAATTTAACTTATAAAAGGGTGTTTATAGGCTTCAGAGAGCCTTTATATTAGTGCAGAACACTGTACCTTTAATTTAAATGCCCTTGGAGTCTGCTGGGGAAGAGAAATAATGCTGTCAGTCAGTATGACATGCAGATGAGTGCCGTCGATCTTAGAATCACCGCACACTTCACTCATTTGGGCAGTCACGGGGCCAAAACCAGAGTGTGGAGCCACAGTGTGGCGGTGGAGGCAGCAGCAATGGGAGGCCATACAGCACCCTATGACAAAAATGGAACCCACCAGCAGTGTGAGGAGACCTGAAAGTGGCACATGGCAGAGTGTGGCGATGGAGACAGCAGCAATGGGAGGTCGTACAGGGACCCATGACACACTCTGGACCTGGCAGCAGCATGAGGAGGCGGTACAGGGGCCCATGGCAGATTACAGGCCTGGCAGCAGCAATGGGAGGCCCGTAATCTGCCAGCACCCTATGACAAAATGGAACACACCAGCAGTGTGAGGAGACCTGAAAGTGGCACATGGCAGAGTGTGGCGATGGAGACAGTAGCAATGGGAGGCCGTACAGGGACCCATGACAGATTACGGGCCTGGCAGCAGCATGAGGAGGCGGTACAGGGGCCCATGGCAGATTACGGGCCTGGCAGCAGCAATGGGAGGCCCGTAATCTGCCAGCACCCTATGACAAAATGGAACCCACCAGCAGTGTGAGGAGACCTGAAAGTGGCACATGTTTGGGGCATGATTCATGGCGGATTTAGTCAGTTGTGTCAAGAACTGGTGGTTTGAAATCCAGACTAATCCACGCCTGATTCATTTTCACAAACGTGAGTCTCTCCACACTTTGGGTGGACAGTCGTGTCCTCCGCGGAGTTACAATACCTCCTGCCGCACTAAACCCGCGCTCCGATGCCACGCTACTGGCCGGGCATGACAGCCTTTCAAGGGCAAATTCAGCTAGTTGGGGCCAAAGGTCAAGTTTCGTTGCCCAGTAGTCAAGGGGATTGTCTACCTCGGTTGGCAGGGTGCTGTCCAAGTAGGCCCAAGCCTGTTGTTTGAGGTCCTGCTCCAGGTCCACCTGATGCTGCTGCTGCTGCGGCTGGTTAGTAGTTTCCTCACTGCGATGGTGAAGAAAGCTACTCATCATCGACTGCAGACTGAGGCAGCCGCTACTGGTGGAGCTGCCACTGCTCCTACCACCCCACCCCTCCCCTGCTGCCATGGCAGCGGAACGCGAGCGCACAGGGCCCACAGTGTCTGAGGATGGACGTTGGCGCAGAAAGGCAGAGACCAACTGACTACATAGGTGGTTTTTATAGTACTTTATTTTGGCCTCCCTCTCAGCAGGTGTGAAAAAGGCCACCATTTTTTGAACGGTAGCGAGGGTCCAACAAGGTGGACAGCCAAAAGTCATCCCCTCTGTCTTATGGGACGATGGAGGACAGCAGCATAATGGCTGGCCGTACAGGACCCATGAGAGACTCTGGACCTTGCAGAGCAATGAGGGAGGCGGGGGCGGTTAGGGGCACCATGGCAGATTTAGGGGCCTGGCAGAAGCCTATGGGAGGCCCGTTAATCTGCGAGCACCCTATGACAAATAATGGAAACACACCAAAGCCAGGTGTGAGGAGGAGACCTGAAAGTGGCACATGGCAGAGTGTGGCGATGGAGGGACAGCAAGCAATGGGAGGCCGTAAGGGACCCATGACACACTCGGACCCGGGAGCAAAGCATGAGGGGGCGGTACGGGGCCCC